GGGCAGGGCTTGGGGGTGGTGACAGGGTCCCGGGAGGGAGCGGGAGCTGACCGGCATCCTCGGCCTCCCAGAACTGCCATGCAGAGGGGTGCAGCTGTACGATACTCCTTATGAAGAGCAGGACCAAGGGACAGGGGACGGGCCCCCTTCCGGGCAGAAGCCTCAGCAGAGCCGGCTGCCCCAGGAGGACGAACGGCCAGCGGAGGAGTATGACCAGCCCTGGGAGTGGAAGAAAGACCACATCTCCAGGGCATTTGCAGGTGCTTCTCCAACCCTGAACGCCCTGCCCCTCCTTCTCCTCATCTGGTCACCTCCCCTGCTTCAACTTACAAAGTAGAATCCAATCACCTGCCACTTTGGTAGTTTGCTAATTAATTCTTACTGAAGCGTGAGTGGCTGATAGTCACATATTCTTCCACCCAGGAAAAACTTGCATCTTCCTCGGAAATGGAAATGCTTTTTAGAGTGGAATGGAATCTACCCCTTTTGTTTAGTGTAGTGCAGGGGGAGTAATATGGCTTTGGTGTCACACCAGACCTGGGTTTGTGTCCTTTGGGCAAGACACTTCATTTCCTCAAGTCTCGGTTGCGTTCTCTGTGAAACGGGGGTCAGGATAGCACCTACTGACCAGGGCGGTCGTAAAGCGAGTGCTAGAAAGGGCTCAAGGACACAGAAGCCTTGGGGAGGGAGGGCAGCGTTTCTCAGAGCTGCCCCTCGAATTGACTTGAAGTCAATTCCCAGCTGAATTGAGTGAGCTTGGGGAGGTCTCTGAACCTTAGTTTCTTCTTCTGTAAAAGCGGCCATGGTAAGGTAGGCTTTAAGAAGTAAAATAACTGAGACCAGGAAGAGTTGCGCCACCAGGACTCTGCCCCAGAAGTTTGCAGGACTGGGAGGGCACTTGGGGCTCAGTGCCTTGGTCCACCTGTCACCAGATCCCAGTAGGGGTGATTTTCTAGTTCTGTGATGGCCTCAGTAAGGATGGTACCCCAGAAGGGAATTCAGGAGTAAGGGGCCCCTACTTGGAAACCTGTAACCCCTCTAGCCACGCCCCCTGCTCTCTGATTTGCTGCTCATGGCACTGCCCCGCCCCTTCCGTGCCTCCCAGGTTTTATGAATGACCACACCCCTTGCTTCTGAAGGCCGATTGGTTGCTCCTGGTGCCAATCTGCCCCCTCACTTAAAGCCAGCCTCTCCTCTTCTGAGCTCTGATAGGTTGCTCCAAATTGGCACCGCCTTCCTACTGAAATGCCATTGGCTGGCCCCCGCCCCGCCCCCACGAGGTAGGCTGGACTTAACCCTCTCCTCGCTAACCCTCCCGGTCCAGTGCAGTTTGACAGTCCGGACTGGGAAAGGACCCCAGGCTCAGCCAAGGAGCTCCGGAGACCGCCGCCCAGGAGCCCCCAGCCCGCGGAGCGCGTGGACCCGGCCTTGCCCCTGGAGAAACAGCCGTGAGTGGGGAGGCTGAAGGTGGAAAAGCCCCCTCGAGCCTCTCTTATCTGTAGACTCCACCTTCTCCACTAGGGTAACTGTAAGACTTTGATTCATTCATTCATTTCACTCCTTCCTTCAGCTAATCTTTCCCAAGCGCCAGCACCTGCCGCGTGCCGCACACTCAGCTAAACACAAAGGCAGAATCGGATGGGGTCCCTTTCCCTGGTGGTATCAGGTTCTGTGTTCAAAACCCTGCCCTGCATCTCCTGGCTGTGTGGCCTGGGGCAAGTCACTTTAACCTCTCTGGGCCTCAGGCTCAAAATCCCCAAGATGGTGCCTGGCTCAAACGGAGTGAAAGGATTATTCTCACCCCCCAGGAGATCTTAGGACGGAAATGGGGGGAGCAGGATTTTGGGGATGTGAAGTTTATTCTCTTTTCAGTTTTCTTTTAATGCAAACAGCAGCCAAGTCTCTGGTGCGCCTCTGTCTCTGACACCTTGCTGGCAACTGCTCACCCCTCTTTGGGCACATGACAGGCTGCAGGTGGGAGGCAGGCTGTAGCATAACTCATGAGAGCGATGGGAGTTGGGGGGTGCTCATGACACCTGGGGACCCATCCAGGTAGGCTCTGAACACCAAGGTCAGGTGTACCTGCTGGATTGGAGGTAGCAGCTCGCCCTTTCACCTGGGCTCAGCTACCCCTTCCCAAGTCTATAACGGGACAACCGTGTCTGCCCGATAACCGGGCTCCTCCTGCAAAATCCAAGGGAATCTTCCTGGCTTGTTGGCCTGGACGCCACCAGCTCTTGCTCTTGTGCGTCCCGTTGTGCATGGACCCGAACGACCCTAGAGTGTGTTTGAAGGGGAATGGCCCTCCCTGAGCCGTCTGTCCCCACCCACCCCCTAGGTGGTTTCATGGCCCACTGAACCGGGCAGATGCTGAGAACCTTCTAGCGCTCTGCAAGGAAGGCAGCTACCTCGTGCGGCTCAGTGAGACCAGCCCCCAAGACTGCTCCCTGTCCCTCAGGTGAGATCCCAGCCTCCCAGGGACAGAGGGTCTCGAGATTGCATGTGTCACTCTTTTGGGTGAATTCAGTGGGAGCCAGAGGCGTGTGGCTCCAGCAGCCAGTGGGCAGGGTTTTAGGCTAGTGGGTGGGGCTTCTAAGAGCAGGGGCAGGGCCTCCAGGGAGGACACTGGGAATGAGCTCCCCGTCATCAGAGGCATACAAGAAGATGGAGTGGAAGCCATAGAGGAGATCCAGGACTTGGGTAAGATGAGGACCCAAGTGTACAAGGTTCCTTTGGTCTCCCGTGGTGCAAATGTTAAGGAATATCCATTTGTGTCTGAAGCTAGAATCTGAATGGCCCCATAAGCATTTGAGTTTGAGACCCTGTATGTCTGTGTTTCTGTCCCTAGATTCTAAGTGTGTCTAATTATAAACTGCTCCTGAGAGTCTACTAGGTGTCTGAGTGCAAGATCTAAAAGAACAAGATTGGAAGAGGGCTTTGGGGCCAGGCTCAAATCCTAACTCCACCCCTTTCTAGCTGTGTGACCTTAGCTAAGTTACCCAACCTCTCTGGGCCTCAGTTTCCTCATCTGTAAAGTGAGGGTAATAATAGCATCCACTTCCTGCTGGTACTGCAATGATTAAATGACAAGAACAGGTGAAAAAAAATGTTGACAACAGTGCCTGGGAAACAGGAAGTGCTTAATTAATGTTAATACGGATGCTAGAATGATTCCCAAGCTCTAGGTCATTCTATCCATCAGAAGTGGAGAGAAAGGGACCCCAGACCAGGGGTTGACTAGTGGGGGCCTGGGAGGGGTGGTACAAGGGATCAGAAAGTTTGGAGAGAGAGTGGGGCGAGTCTGGGGTTGCTGGTAGGGCCCTGGCCACTAAGATCTGTCTCTTCATCGAATAAACATTCATTAAGAACCTACTGTGTGCCCGGCCCTATTCCTGGCACTCTGGCCGTGCCAGAGACAGAGATAATCTGAGATAGAGACACCCATTCAGACCCTGAAGAGACAGTGGGACTGGGTGTGAGTGGCAGTCAAGGGAGGCATCTCGGAGGAGGTGGCACACCAGCTGACCTGTGAGCAAATCAAGAGAAAGAGTGCACAGGGCTGGAAAGTGCCGTGCAAAGGTGTCCCCTTTGGGGGCCCCTCCTGATTGCACCAGGATTTGGGGTCGGTTCTGCCGCACCCCATGGCAATGACTGAGAACTAGGCTCTAGAGGGGGCAGAGAAACGCACAACGGCAGGGACAGAGAGGGGCGCCTGATCCTCCCACGTCTGCAGAGACGGCACTGGGTCTGTCATCCCTTGCAGGAGGGGAACCTGGGCTCCAGCCTGCTGTCCCGGGGCGGGGGCGGGGGTGCCAACAGCTTGGCACCAAGGGCTGCCAGGCAGAGATGTCAGGGACACCCGGGCCAGCCCTGGGCCCATGGGGGGTGGACAGCACGGTGGGTCTGGGGCACTCAAGGCTCCCTTTGACCTCTGTCCCCAGGAGCAGCCAGGGCTTCCTGCACCTGAAGTTCGCGCGGACCCGGGAGAACCAGGTGGTGCTGGGCCAGCACAGCGGGCCCTTCGCCAGCGTCCCCGAGCTGGTCCTGCATTACAGCTCGCGCCCGCTGCCCGTGCAGGGCGCCGAGCACCTGGCCCTGCTGTACCCGGTCGCCGCGCAGACCCCCTGACGGGGACCCTCTGCGCCCTTCTGGGCTCTAGGGCCCAAGATCCTGTCTCAAAACCCTCTTCTGGCCTGAAAAATAAATAAGTTATTGTCTGTCCCACGTGTCCTTTCTGGGCTGCAGGGAGGCAGAGATCGGGGCTCCCAGCAGGAGAGCCACAGATGTGTCCCCGCGTGCAAAATGGTCACCATGGGTGTCCGGCGGGGGCGCTGATGATGAGGGCCCCATCAGAGGCAGGAGGCGCCAGTGAGACCCTTGGAGGGTCTTTGTTCTGGGGATGGAGGCTGGGCCTGAATCCCACAGAGGCAGAGCTAGAGGCAGAGCTAGGAGGCACATAAAGACCCGGGGACAGCAGAGGGGACAGGGCAGATGTGGGGATGGAGAAACTGGGGGGGCAGGGGGAGGTGCGCGGGCCAGCCCCGCCCCCTCCTCACTGGCAGTGTGGCTAGATCTGCAGAAAGGACATCTGTCCCCATGGAAACAGCAGAAGTGGGGGAGGGGAGGCTGGCCCAGTTGGTGTCACTTCAAGGTGACAGGCCAGAGACCCTGGGGAGCAGGGAAAGACCAGGGAGCCCCTGACTTCCTCACTCCCTCCCCCCAAGACCTGCCCCGGGTGGCGGGGACATGCTGGCCGGGAGGGGGCTTGTATGGGGGGGCTGGTGAGTCCCCAGAGCCCCCTCCTCCCAGGGGCCTCTCCAGCGGGCTCTGAGATTCCCAGATGGCCCCTCACATCTCTCCGCACCCCCAAATCTCCACACACCCCAGCTTTGCTTTCTTCACAGGTCTTTATTGAGTGTTCAGGGCAGGGGGGTCTATCGTCACAGAAATGAGAACGGGGGCTCAGGACGGGGCTATTGCCCCCGGAGGCAGTCACACCATCACGTGGCCACGGGCGGTGGGGTCCTCTTTGAGTCCCCGGGGGTCTCCGACTCCTGTCCCGCCGCAGGGAGCCCTCTTGGCCTTGGCGGCCCCGCGGGGCCGGGGCAGGGACAGACCCTGGCCATGGGGACATAGTGACTGGGCTCCTGGCCGGGGCACGGTTTGGGGGCCGGACTCGGGCAGTGGGGGGCGGGCTGGGGAACAGGGGTGGAATAGACGCTCTGGCCGTTCTGGTCCCTCCCGGGGGCGGCCGGGCCCTTGCCCTCTCCGGGCCCCGCCTCGTGCTTCTTTGGGGCGCCCTGGGGCCGGAACAGGATGTTGCTGTACAGTGGGTTTCCTAAGGGGCAGTGGGGGACAGTCCCTTGAGAGAGTCTGGCGCTCTCCGGCCCACCTCTATTTCTGGGAAACACGAGCGTGGGGGCCAGGCTTCGCCACCCCCCAGGAGCCCACCTTCCGTCCTTCCCCAAGACCGGATGGGGGGCGCGGGGGGCGCGGCCGAAGCGGTGGGTCCTTGGCTCGCAGCAGCAGTTCCCGCTTCCGCCACGAGAGGCCGCCCGCGGGCAGCCCGTCCGCGCGCCGCGCGCTTACCTGGGCGGTCACCTGCGTCCCTCCCCCGGCGGCCGCGGCGGCGGCAGCCCCAGATCCCAGCGCCCAGCGCGATCGCGGCCACGGCCCCCGCCGTCGGCAGCACATAGAGCAGTCCTGGGTGGGCGTGGGCGGCAGGGCGGTGTGAGGGGACAGGGTGCGGGGCTGGGGCGCTGGGGGGGGACACGCGAGTGGGGCTCACCTGGGAAGCTGGAGGTCAGCGCGGGGTCTGCAGAGAGGAAATCTATGTCGCGGGAGGGTGTCCCCACCTTCGGGTCCAGCCTCCTGCACCCTCTGAGGGCAGAGCTCCCTCCCGCCCCGTGTGGGCCCCAGTGCTCCTGTCCTGCTAGGCCATGTGACTTAAGGCAGGTGCTCACTCTGAACCTCGGTTTCCTCTTCTGAAAAACGAGGCCCGCCCTTCCTATCTTGCTGGGTTACTGTGGAATAACGGCCAGTGGATCTTTTAGATAGTTTGGGGGGGTGTTTAGAAACGGGGTCTCCAGCTGTGGCCCAGGCTGGAGTGTGGTGGTGGCATCATAGCTGCCTGCAACCTTGAACTAACTGGGTTCAAACGATCTTCCCACGTAGCTGGGACTACAGGCATGTGCCACCACTCCTGGCTGTTTCTTTTCTTTTCTTTCTTTTCTTCTTTTTCTTGTTGTTTTGTTTTGTTTTTGTAGAGATGGGGGTCTTGCTATGTGTTGCCCAAGTTGGTCTTGAACTTCTGGCCTCAACAGAACCTCCCGCCTAAGCCTTTCAAAATCCTGGGATTAAAGGATTACAGGTGTGGGCCACCGTGCCGGGCCATGCCTCCTGTGTTTTGAGCCTCTACTCAGTGCCAAGCCCAATTTTCAGATGGGGAAACTGAGGCTCAGATTGTCTAACTCACTTGTCTGGGGTCTCACACCCAGGAGGCAACAGGGAGCCCCCTCTCCTTCCCTGTTTCAGAAAAAAAAGCACAGGCCGGGCGCGGTGGCTCACGCCTGTAATCCTAGCACTCCGGGAGGCCCAGGCAGGCGGATTGCTCGAGGTCAGGAGTTCAAAACCAGCCTGAGCAAGAGTGAGACCCCGTCTCTACTATAAAATAGAAGGAAATTAATTGGCCAACTGATAATATATAGAAAAAAATCAGCCGGGCATGGTGGCGCATGCCTGTAGTCCCAGCTACTCGGGAGGCTGAGACAGGAGGATCGCTTGAGCCCAGGAGTTGGAGGTTGCTGTGAGCTAGGCTGACCCCAGGGCACTCACTCTAGCCTGGGCAACAAAGCGAGACTCTGTCCCAAAAAAAAAGAAAAAGAAAAAGAAAAAAAGCACGCTTCCACCAGCCTGAACATTTGTGTCTCCCTGAATAATCGGCATCACAGATATGGAAAGAGCCACTCGTGTTTATTGAGCACTTACTATGTCCCTGGCCCTGTACTAAGCACTTTAGCTGTCACCACTCTAAATTCACCCAACCTGGCAAGGAAAGCACTATTAGCTGTGTTTTGACGGCTGAACCAACAGGCACAGAGCGGTCGAGTTATTCGCGCAAGGTCACATAGCAAGTAGATGACGAGGAGGCTTGAATTGGGGTTTGTGTAGCTTACACGAACCCCAGCCAAAGGCTCTGAATGCCGTGACTAAATATGGCCCAGCACCCACGCCGCCTTCCTCTTGCAGCTGCTGAGGTTGGCAGGGGGTCCCTGGAGGCTGCCTGGCCGCTGTTCTGGGGCCCGGAGGCCAGCTGTGCGGAGCTGGACGGGCGCCAGCTGCCTTCTCCTGGCAGCTGCCAGGGCGCAGCCTGGGGCCTCCGCCGCCTCTGCTAATTGCTAATTGGCCCCCTTGACACTGGAGGGCGGGGGCGGGAGGACGGCGGCAGCACACCACCCTCCGGGCGGGGGCTCTGCTGCAGAGGAGTGGGTGTCTCTTGGGGCTGGGAGCCGCGTGCTCTGTTCTGCCAGATGCAGGCTGGGCACGGCCCCAGGCCAGCAGGAACCACCCGCAGGGCAGGGTCCCCAGCCTGGGGCAGCCTGGTCCCCGCACCTGCACAGGTTTGGCTCATAAGGGGTGTCGTGGTAGAGTGGCAGGAGCCTGCGAGCGGGCTCTAGAGGAACCGGCCTGCACCTCTGCCTTGTGTGCTGCCCGGAACTCATCTCCGCCCCTCCCGGCCTCAGCTTTCTCATCTGTCAAGTGAGACGGCAGGCTTTGCTGATCTGGAAGGTTCCGTGTGGCTTTGAGAGTGGATGGCTTCCTTTCTTTCTGTTTTTCCTTAGAGACAGGGTTTCTGTGCTCTGTCACCCAGGCTGGAGTGCAGTGATGCGGTCATAGCTCACTGCAGCCTCCAACTCCTGGGCTCAAGCGATCCTCCTGCCTCAGCCTCCCGAGGAGCTAGCACCACAGGTGTGTGCCACCAATCCCAGCTAGGTTTTTGTAGAGATGGTGTCTTGCTGTGTTGCCCAGGCTGGCCTTTTTTTTTTTTTTAGACAGAGTCTTGCTTTGTTGCCCAGGCTACAGTGAGTGCCGTGGCATCAGCCTCGCTCACAGCAACCTCAAACTCCTGGGCTCAAGTGATCCTCCTGTCTCAGCCTCCCGAGTAGCTGGGACTACAGGCATGCGCCACCATGCCCGGATAATTTTTTCTATATATATTAGTTGGCCAGTTAATTTATTTCTATTTATAGTAGAGACGGGGTCTCAGTCTTGCTCAGGCTGGCCCAGGCTGGTCTTGAACTCCTGACCTCAAACGATTCTCCCACCTCGGCCTCCCAAAATGCTGGAATTACAGGCGTGAGCCAATGTGCCCCGCCTAAGAGTGGCTGGCTTTCCATTCTGGATTCTAGAATTCTAGAATTCCCTACCCTTATACATTCTGAGATTGCAAAATTCTGAGGATCTTTTTAAAGTATTTAAGACACTGCAATTCTAAGGTTCTAGAATTGTCTGTTCCTTTATTTTGGTGTTTCTCAACTTTCTTTTCATTATCTGTCCCCAGGGAGACTTTTTAGATGTTTTTGAAATCTTAATCTGTTCCCCCATGAAATTTTAATACCATAGAAATGTTGTAAATCTGCTTATGTTCGGTATGTGTATCTAAGCTTTATACATAAAGAGAGTAAGGTTTTGTTTTGTTTTAGCTTTTTTTTTTTTTGCCTCCCAAGAACAAATATTCACCTCCTTAGGGACAAGACATGCTTTAATTCTAAGAGCCTAGAATTTTCTGTCCTTACGATGCTAGAACTGTAAGGTTCTATTTCGTGGTTTGAGATTCTAGAATCATCCTAGGTGCAATGGAAATGTCCACATATGTTCACCAGAAGACAAGAATGTTTGCAGCAGCTGCCCGAATGCCCATCAATAGGGCATTGGGTTGACAGTGGTGGTAGAGGCATGTGCTGGAATATTCTACAGCAAGGAAAAAGAATGAACCACTGCTATGTGCGGCCACATAAATGAGTCCCCCAGACGCCATTGAGAGAAAGAAGCTGGACACTGAGAATCGCCGAGCCTGCCCAGCACGCTCAGCCCTCGCTGTCAGTGACTCCCTTTAAATGAAATATGAAGTCGGGCCGAACAGGTCTATGCCGGTGGGATTCAGGATCCCCGGGGGACTGGAAGTGTGATGTTCTTGAGCTGGGCGGTGGCTGCAGGGGTGGGTTCGGGTTGTGCAAATCTGCCTCGCTGGACGCAATATATGCATTCGTCTGTATGCAAGACAGACTTCAAGGCCAGGCGCGGTGGCTCACGCCTGCAATCCCAGCACTCTGGGAGGCCGAGGCAGGAGGATCCTTTGAGCTCAGGAGTTCGAGACCAGCCTGAGCGAGAGCAAGACCCCGTCTCCACTATAAATAGAAAGAAATTAATTGCCCAACTAAAAATATATATAGAAAAGTTAGCCAGGCATGGTGGCGCATGCCTGTAGTCCCAGCTACTCAGGAGACTGAGGCAGGAGGATCGCTTGAGCCCAAGAGTTGGAGGTTGCTGTGAGCTAGGCTGATGCCATGGCACTCTAGCCCGGGCAACAGAGTGACACTCTGTCTCAAAAAAAAAAAAAAACAAAAGAAGCAAACAAAAAAAACACCTCCAGAATTATATGTTCTCAAGAGTCCTTATGATGGTGATATTTTTGGAACAGAGCTCAGCAACCTATAGCCCATGAGCCAAATTCAGCCCACTGCCTGTGTTTTTAAATAAAGTTTTATTGGAAACCAGCCACCACAATTCACTGACATATTGCCTATGGCTGCTTTCTTGCCACAGTGGAGTAATAACAGCAGAGAAAATGTGGTTGACAAAGCAGTAAATATTCACTGTGAGGCCCTTTCCAGAATGTTCACCAAGTTCTGGGCTAGAATGCTAAGTTCTAGACCAGGTTCTGTGATTCCAGACTTCAAGGGTCTCAACTTAGCAGGATTTCTGTTCCTAAGAGTCTGATGTGAAGAATTTAGAGTTTTATGTTTCTAGGAGTTTAAGATTCAAGCCTCTTTTTTTTTTTTTTTTTTTTTTTGAGACAGGGTCTCACTGTCGCCCAGGCTGGAGTGTAGTGACGTCATCACAGCTCACTGCAGCCTCCAACTCCGGGGCTCCTGCCTCAGCCTCCCGAGTAGCTGGCACTACAGGCGCCACCACAACCAGCTAAGAGATTCAAGAGTCTTCAGATTCTAGAATGTTCCCCACTCCACCTCCCTCTCTCGGTGTCGGCTGCCATACCTGCATCCACTAGAAGCCGCGTCCCGTTGCCACTGGCCTGGTCCAACTCCGGAATCTCCATGACGGCCCAGCACACATAGTGCCCGCTGTCACTGAGGGTCACACGATCCAGCCGCAGGGTGACAGCCCCAGGTGCCCGCCAGGAGAGCCGGCCGCGGGGCCCGCAGAGCCCCAGGCTTAGGCTGTCGTTGGTGATGTGTGGCTCACACAAGATGTCATCGTCCTTTGTCCACCCGATACGGAGTTGTTCCCAGGCCTGGGCCTGGGCCACTTGGCAGGCCAGGGTCACCCGAGAGCCCTGCTGAACCCGCAGCAACGTGGGCTCCTGGTGCACAAGCAGGCTTGAGGCTCCTTGCGGGGCTGGAGGGCAAAAGAGGCGGGCGAAGAAACCTTCCTTAGTGTGTGCCTGTGTGCAGCTCACCCCCTGCCGAGCCTACGGGAAGGGTCTGAAACTGCGCCATGCGTCTGCATGATCTGTGGAAGGCCACTTCTTTTCGCTGAGGCTCAACAAGCCCATCTGTAAAATGGGTATAACTAGCTCGGCTCTTGTGGAATTTTGAGATGGACTCTAGCTCTCCGCGACACAACTATCACCCAGTGTGTGCCACGCCTTATGCTCGGTTCGGTGGACACAAACACAGTGGAGGCCAAAACGGACAAGAAAAGGAGAGAGGAGGGAGAATCTATTAATAATACTTATGGAATGTGGTTGGGAAAGGCCTCTCTCAGGTGGTAACGCTTCAGCAGGGACCGGAATGGTAAGAGGTAACCAGTGTGGGAGGGAAGGTACAGAGGAAGACTGTTTCAGGTTTAGGGCACGGCCCGTGCAAAGGCCCTGGGGCAGGACCGCACCTGGCGTGTTGCAGGCGCAGCGAGGAGGCCCGCGTGGCTGGAGCAGAGTGAGCGAGGGGCTGAAAGGGAGGAGGGGAGGGTGGGGAGGTGACAAGGCGGGTTGTGCAGAGCCTTGTGGGCTGCGGGGGTGGGGTGGGGGTGGGGTATGCAGGCGGCTTAACTTGTCATCTAAGTGTGATACGAAACTAAGGGGGACTGTGATGAAACGTGGTCCAATTTAAGTCTAACACAACGACCTGCCTGGCCGCCATGGCGAACACGCCCTACAGGCAGAGGTTCAGGGCCGGGAGCTGGGAGACCAGGGAGGGGGAAGCCACGCTGTCCAGGCCGCAGTGATGGGGTTGGGACTGGGGGAGCAGTGGCCATAATCTCAACAGATTTTGCAGTCTGCCCTCCTCAGAAGTGCAAGTGGCTGGAATTGGGGGACAGGGAAGGAGAAATGGCGGAGTATCCCCAGGTTTGCACCCGAGGGCAGTGAACAGTGGCGGCCTTGGCCAGGACGCCACACCCGAGGGAGGACCCACTGGCGTAGCGGGAATAAGCTCGCTCTTGGCCACGGTGAGTCTGAGCTGCCTGTTAGCTGCCCCAGAAGGTGAGTGAGGCCACTGCAGCGAGGCTGGGGAGATGGCAGCCGGGAAAGGGCGCCAGGTGGCTGGAACAGCAAGTGCAAAGGCCTGGGGGTTGGATGAAGCCCGGTGAGTTGGGGAAATGGAGAAAGAAAAGCCTGGCAGGGTGTGGGGGCTCACGCCTGTAACCCCAGCGCTTTGGGAGGCCAAGGCAGGAGGATCGCTCGAGGCCAGCCTGGGCAACATAGTCAGACCCTTACAGAAAAAAAATTAGCAGGGCATAGTGGCACCTGTAGTCCCAGCTACTGGGGACAAGGCTGAGGCAGGAGGCCTCGTCCTGAGCCCAGAAGTGAGTGACCTATGGTCGTGCCACTGCACTCCAGCCTGGGCCACAGAGTGCAACCTGGTCTCTAAAAACACAAAAAATAAAATAAGAGAAGAAGAAGAAAGAAAAGCCAGCTGGCGGGAGCAAGGTGGAGGGAGGGAATGGGAGGGAGAGCAGAGGCCCCTTCCTGAATCCTCCCACCCCATAAGGCTCCGAATGTCACAGGAGATTGGCCCTGTTTGGCAGAGCGGAGAGAATGCAGTTTAGAGGGGACCGGGCAGCCGGGGTGACACCAGGAGGGGCGTGCGGAGGGGAGGAAGGCCCAGGTACTCACCCCAGAGCTGCAGCAGCAGGAGCAGTGCTGTGCCCAGAGACCCCATCCCTGGCCCACCAGGCCCCCCGTCCCTGCCGAAGCCCATCCTCCCCCACCCCTTCCACTCCACAGACTTCCTGCCACAATCTCCGCCCCCCACTGCAGAGGCAGATGTGACACCACCACCCAGGGCCAGACGGCAGACATCCGGCCTTCCAGGTTGCTTGGGGCTCCACTTCCTGCCACATCGTGCCTCAGTTTCCCCCAAGTGTTTTCGACCTGAAAGGCAGTGTGCGTATGGGAGTGGTGGCAGGGAGGGGGAATGTGTCCCAGTGAGTGGAAGTCTTTCTGGATGGCTCTGCATAAACACGTCTAGGCATAGGGAGGTGACAGAGTGGACAAGCAGGTGGCCCGGGGTGGGTGAGGGGCCAGGGACTGAGGCCTGAGTGGGGGAGGGTTAAATGGGCAGATCCCTGCCTTGATCAGTTTGTCCCAAAATGTCTCGGCTTGGGCTCAGAAGAGTGGATTTCTGATGACGTGGGGTCTCACGGCAGGTGTGGGGCGTTCTCCTGCCCCCAGGCCGCAGGGAGAAGCTTGGGCGCCTCCAGTTGAGGGGTGTCCTAGGCTCTGGGGCTCCTCCCGGCCTTGCACCCCTCCCCCAGTTGGTAGTGCCCCGCCCCCAGAGGAGGTGGCAGCCTCAGAGACCTCAGAGTCTCACACCCACCCACAGAGTGACCTCCTTCTCAGAGCTGAGAAGCCACATCTTGGAGGCGTCGGCCCAACCACAGCGAGGCCCCTGTGGTGGCACTGTCCCTGCCTGCACCTAGCCCCACTCTTTGTCCCTAGAGACTTTCTGAAGCTCCACCGTCCCCCTCCCCTCCCCTGAGGGACAGTGCTGACCGCGGCCCTGAATAGATTCAGCCCCGGGTCCTTCTGGGCTGATGAGGGAGGCAGAGCTGGACACAGACCTTCTTAGCCCCATGGATTTTGGGCTGGCAGGGAGGCTTCTGGAGGAGGTGTTAGAGATTGAGGCTTTGTGGGATGTATAGGAGTTTGGTCGTGACGTGAAGACGGAAAGGAGGCATTGGATGGAGGCTTTCTAGGCAAAGACCTTAGCTTTTCAGTTCATGCAAGGTGCGTGAAGGAGGGCTAGACCGCTTAGCAACAGATAAGGTGTGTGGGTGAACAGGTGGGGAGACTGAGGCACAGGAGGGCTAGAGATGATGCCGAGGTCACTCGCAGTGTCGGGGGTGGAGCCCCTCGTCTCCAGCTCAGTGCGGCCTGGCCAGCCCCGGGCGCGGGAGGTCCGAGCTCCCGACCCCAGCCGGGAACTACATTTCCCAGCGCGCCGCGGCGGGCGCGCCTGCGCACTGCGGGCAGTGATGGGGCGCTAAGCGGGGGCGCGGCGACGACTGGGGCTCGGCGGGCCATTGGCTACCGGCAGAGGCAAAGGCAGCTTGGGGACTCGAAGAGTGAGCGGGACCCGCGGTCCGGGCCGGTGGGACCTGGGCTGCAGCCATGGAAGACCAGAGGGTAGGACGGGGCGGGGCGGGGCGGGGCCCTGCAGCGAGGGTGGCCGGGGGAGGGGACCAGGTGTTGCCGCAGCGCCCTCCCCCCTCCGCCCCAGCTGCTCTGCGGCCCAGGCCCCACCCCTGCCGCCACCCTGTCCTGATCTACCCCCTCCCCCAATTTGGGACGCAGCCCCTCCCCCATCCTCTTGGCCTGGGGCCAGGCGTGTCTCCCCGTGTCCCCCACCTCGGGCCCCCTGCCCCCTACCCCGCCCAGCATCCCCGTCCAGGCTGGACCCCATCCCCCACGCCTTCCATCCCCGCGGAGGACCAGGTGTCCCTGCCCTGGGCGACCTCTCCCAGCACGCCCACCTGGTCTTCCTCCCACCTGGCATCACCTTCCTCGACACTTCCCTCCCCCTTCCCACTCACCTGGCCTCCCCCTTGCCCAGGCCCCGCCTTTGTCCAGGCAATGCCCTCCTGCTTGCTAGTCCGTTCCAGGTAGGCCTTATCCTCGGGTGTCCCTCCGGACACCCTCCGCGGCTCGCGCCTGTTCTTAGACTATCCTATAGCCCGGCTGTCCCGTCTCCCCGGGGTTTTGCTTCCCAGAGGTAGCCCTTTGGCCAGGCTAGCCCGTTTTCCAACAGGCACCCTTCTCCTCCGGGGCCTCCGCCCCTGAGCTAGCCCCTCACCCCGGTTGACGGCTCTGCGCTCGGGCAGGCCTGGTGCAGCTCTGGCACCTTCCTGGAAGAGGCTCTCTCTGAGCCTCAGTTTCCTCCTCTGTAAAATGGGGCCGCCCACCTGCTAAGTGACGGACATAGGGGCAGAGTGGGGCAGCCTGGGCTGACCCGCCTGCCGTGCGCGCCATGCGTGCGCGCGTGTGTCCGGAGCAGGAGGCCTTGCGCAAGATCATCACAACCCTGGCCGTGAAGAACGAGGAGATCCAGACCTTCATCTACTCCCTCAAACAGATGCTGCTCAACATGGAGGTGAGAGCGGCCGCGGGCCAGTCCTGGGCCGGTGGCTGCCGGGACCGAGGGCAGGTGGCAGGGGGGCGCAGCCCCAGGAACTGGCCCGTGGGAGGCTGGGCCCTGGCTGGCCACGTCCAGGTCTCAGTTTCCCCAGCAGACCACGGGCTATTCTGACGCAGGCGAACTCGGCCAAGGTGCAGGAGGACCTGGAAGCCGAGTTCCAGTCCCTCTTCTCCGTCCTGGAGGAGCTGAAGGAGGGCATGCTGATGAAGATTAAACAGGACCGCGCCAGCCGGACCTACGAGCTGCAGGTGGGGCCCGGGGACCCCTCGCGTGAGCCCACATCCACCTGCACCCCCTCTTTATCCCCTCTGCATCCTCACACCCCTGTGTCTGGCCCAGCACGTCCCCTCCTGTCTTCACCCAGTGCCCCAGTTTCTCAGCCCTTGCTGCTGGTCCCCAGATCTGACCGTGTCACCCTGGCTCCTGCACCTCCCATGGCTCCCACGGGCTCTCATGCTTCAAGCTGGGGTCCCCCCGGGCTGCATCCCAACATCCTGGGCAACTTCCTAACATGCCAGCTTCCTATCCCCAGCGAGTGTGGAGCCCAGGGGCTCAGGTGTGGCCTGGGCATGGAGTTCTTAAGGAAGGGATTCCCCAGGTGATTTGGATGTAGGGCCAAGAGCCATTCTCCCCTCCCACCTGGAGTGGGAGGAGGGACAGATGCCATCTGGGGGTGGAGCCCAGAGAACACCACGCCCCTGTCGAGGTGGAGTTGTTAAGAAGCCCCGCCCCTGGGTGGGGCCATGAGAAGGCCCCACCTACCATGGCACCTAGGTTCTGGGAGGCTCTGGGGAACCCTCCAGGGTTGGAGGCAGTGGGGTGAGCTGTCTCTACCCTTGGTGCCTGGTGCTGTGCTGATGGGTGCCGCCCTCCCCGCAGAACCAACTGGCTGCCTGCACGCGGGCCCTGGAGAGCTCCGAGGAGCTTCTAGAGACGGCCAACCAGACCCTGCAGGCCACGGACAGCGAGGACTTTCCCCAGGTGGGCGCCCCTGATGCCATGCCCACATGGTTGCTGGGTAAAACCCAGTGCACCCAGTTAAATGCACCTTTCGAGTCAATGAATAATGTTTTAGTATAAGTATAGCCCACCCCAGGCAATGTTGAGCATAAGTATATCTCAAAGATTGCACAACGTATGCTAAGAGCGTGTTCGATGATCGAAAATTCAAATATATCAATGAATAAGTTTTTTTTTTTTTTTTTTGAGACAGAGTCTCGCTTTGTTGTCCAGGCTAGAGTGAGTGCCGTGGCGTCAGCCTAGCTCACAGCAACCTCAATCTCCTGGGCTCGAGAGATCCTTCTGCCTCAGCCTCCCGAGTAGCTGGGACTACAGGCATGCGCCACCATGCCCGGCTAATTTTTTTTATATACATATCAGTTGGCCAATTAATTTCTTTCTATTTATAGTAGAGACGGGGTCTCGCTCTTGCTCAGGCTGGTTTTGAACTCCTGACCTTGAGCAATCCGCCCGCCTCGGCCTCCCAGAGAGCTAGGATTACAGGCGTGAGCCACCGCGCCCGGCCAATGAATAAGTTTTTTAGTGCAATGCTTAGCATAAGTATATCCCAAGTGGCACCTGGGACATATTCATTGCTTATCTGAAATGCCAATTCAGCCGGGCGCCCTCTGTTTTTATTTGTTAAACCTGCCAACTGTATGCACTGGGCACTGGGCAAGAGATTGGGGAGGAGTCAGGAGCCTGTCCTCTGTCTTTGGGGCACACTCTGGGAGGGAGTGTCCAAGTTTCTGTCCCAGGGCTTGGCTAGTGGCCTTGGCCTTGGCCTTGACCAGGTCTGGATAGACACGTCTTTGACTCAGTAGAGACGAGAGACGAGTGTTTGAGTTTCGTTCTCTCTCTCTCTCTAGGCTGCCAAGCAAATCAAAGATGGGTAAGATGCTGGATCTGGCCCCCGTTGCAGTGCCCTGCCCTTGCAGTAAAGGTGGGGACACTGGGGGATGAGAATGTGGGGAAGGGGGTCCCCCTTCCCACATGCATCTCAGATGACCAGGCTGGGGGGTACCCCTGAGACACCTGCCAGCAGGCTGCTTCCACCTATTTCCCCACAGGGTGACAATGGCCCCTGCCTTCCGGCTGTCATTGAAAGCCAAGGTCAGTGACAACATGAGTCACCTCATGGTGGACTTTGCTCAGGAGCGGCAGATGCTACAGGCACTCAAGTTCCTTCCTGGTGAGAGGGGGACTCTCTGGAGGACCAGGATTTTGGGGAAATGTCCCCTGGGGTCTGGGAGGTCCTGTGACAGGTCATGGAGTAAGGCTGACAGCCGGGTGTCTGAATCCGGGGAAGGCCACGCCCTTTGGGGGTGGAGCCCTGAGAAAGCCACACCCAGTGAGGGTGGAGTCCTTATGAAGCCCCACCCCTGGGTGTGGCCAAAAGAAGGCTCCACCCACCAGGCAGTGGCATCCTGGGGAAACCCTGCCCCTAGTGGCCACATCCCCTGGGGAAAGAGGCTTTGAAGACCCATGGTGGCTCTCAAAAGAAAGCCACAGGTCCAATTCTGGAA